TCTTCTCAGAGTCAGCCACAGTTTGTTATGATCCACGCAGTCAAATGCCTTTGCATAATCAATGAAACACAGATAGACATTCCTCTGGTACTTCCTGCTTTCAGCTAAGATTGATCTAACATCAGCAATGCTTACTGCAGAAGATCAAAGACTATAGCCTCCAATAAAAACTTCAACTCAACATCAAGACACAAAAATTCTCACCCCTGGACTGCTAGGCAAAATCATGAAAGATGGAGAAAAGATTGAAACTTAACAACTTCTTCTTGCTTGGATCCTTTATCAATACATTTGATACTAGCAGTGAAGAAATGAGTGGATATAATTCACTTGGGAAATATGTAGTCAAGGACCTCTACAAATACTTAAAGAGCAATGTTATCAGTTTTAGGACTAAGGTGAGCCTAATTCAGGCCACGATCTTTTCAATCACTTGCTATGCATCTGAGAGCTGGACATTGAATAAGGATACCAGGAGAAAATTGGTATCTTTGAGTTATGGTGTTAAAGAAGAGTACTGAATATCCCATTAACTGCCAAAAGAACAAACATATATGTCTTGAAGATGGAATAGCCAGAGTGCTCCTTAAAGGTAAAAATGATAAAGCTTTTCCACATACTTTGGGCATATTGCTAGGAGAGACTATTTTTGTAGAGGGATTCTTGGAAAGGTGGAGTGATGATGAAAAAGAAGACCCTCAATGGGATGGATTGACACAGTGACTGCAGCAATGGCTCAAGGATGTCAGAGATGATGAGGATGGCATAGATTAGGATAAGCTGTTCATAGGGTCACTATGAGTTGGACTTTATGGCATCTAACAGCATGGAGAGTTAATTCACTTTTTAAAGATAATTTTACTGGTAATACTACTATAATCAGTGTTGAGCTAGAACATTGCTCCCTTCTAAAAGAAAATTGGCTTCTTCTTGATGACATTTTAGGAATAGTTAGTAAGAGTTGAACAATAAGCCTGATGAATGTTCCTGGATAGTACACTTGAAAATTGTTGATATTTCCTGTATTATATCTTTAGTTCCCAAAATAAAAACAAAATCATTACAATCTTGGAAAAGTATTTGTAACTCATAACAGAAAGGAAATAATTCCTTAAATCTATACTTTGTTCATAGAAAATGAAAGACCAAGAAATGAAAAGAAAAACTGGAGAAATTTCAGTGACCAAGAATCTATATTGTTGTTATGTGCCATCAAGTCATTTGCGACTCATAGCGACCCTATGTACAAAAGCCCTAAACATCATTTTATCCTGCGCCAACCTCACTATCTCAAACACATTCATTACCTTCACTCCACTCACAGAATCAATCCATCTCATCGAGGGTCTTCCTCTCCTGCGCTGTCCCTCCACTTTCCCAAACATGATGTCCCTCTCCAAGGACCAATCTGTCCTTGCAACATGCCCAAAGTATGTCAGATGGAGCTTCAGAATCCTTGACTCCAGGGAACATTCTGGCTTCACCTTCTCCAGGACAAACCTGTTTGTTCTCCTAGCAGTCCATGGTATATTTAACACTCTTCTCCAGCACCACAACTCAAAGGCATTAATTCTCTTTCTATCATTCCTATTCACTATCCAACTCTCTGATGCATAGCGTGTAATTGCAAAGACTATAGCCTGGATCAGGTGCACCTTAGTCTCCAGCCTGATGTCGTTGCACTTCTGTACTCTTGAGAAGTCCCTCACAGCTGGCTTTCCCAATGCAATTAGCCTCCTGATTTCCTGGCTGCTGTTACCAAGACTGTTGACTGTGGAGCCAAGTAAACTAAAACTGTTAACTATCTCAATCTATTCACCATCCACACTGATGATGCCAATTGGCCCAGTGGTGAGAATCTTTGTCAATAATCTCTAGCAATGTGAATATCTTCAATTAGAAATAATAACAAAACTTCACTTCTGTGAACAAAAATAAGAATTTAAATTATCAACAGCTGAGGGACTAGGATAAGAGAGAGAGAAAGAGTGCCTCCCACACCAGATAGCAAGACTTGAGACAATTAAAACCTGAGGGAGACTGGAGCAAGATCATGGCGATGGAGAGACAGGTATTGCTGTGGAAAAACTGTTGCAAGGTGTGACCCTTCAGGCTTCTTGCATTTGTGCTTGGCATAGTTAAAGATTTTTATTGTTCTTGTCAGATGCTTGAAGGAGAAACTAACTTATAACTGCTCTGAGGCAAACCTTCCTGGATGATTTGGAATTGACTGCCTAACTGAAACTAGAGTCTGTACTAATTGAAGAATTGTACTCTGGAACTTGGGCTAAAACCTAGACTTGAAGTGGGTGATATTATTTACTTCTCCCACTCTCAACTTATGTCCCTAATAAATCCCATTCTCAGTACCATAACTGTGAGTCAACAGTGAATAAATGAATCTCTTGCTGTGGTGTGGCTCTACAGTCACCATGGGGCTGGGACTACAGGCTCTTTACCTGCTTTCTGATCTAGGACATTGAAGGCTGTGCTATTCTTAATCCTCCTAGCCCTTTTAGAAAGACACTCATGGCCCTGTGCCCTTGTGTCCTGTTTTCTCCTCTAGATGAGTGATCATAGGTGAGATTGAGAATATGTATAGTTTTAAATAGTTTTGAATCTTGAATTATGTAAATATTACACATAAAACATTTATAATATTTAATTCAAATAATCACAATTGAGTTGTAATTAGTAGGAATACAAGTCATCAGTCCATAATGCTTAAGGAAATCTGAATATCTGGGTTATTTATGTTAGAACAGAAGTTTTATCAATGATGCAATCAGATGAATGTCAATGTACTCCCAGTTTTATTTTTTTAAAAAAGTGGTATGACTTTATATTAGGGAGAGAAATCACATCTGCCTCTAAAACTGGCTTAATTAAAACTTATCGTTCTTTAACAAGTATCTTGGTGAATTTGTTAATTTTATCTACCATCATGATAACTTTAAATCATTTTCATTATTTCTTGTCAGCCTAAGTTTTATTGATGTAAATTTTCTTAAAATTATGAAACTATTAATAAGACAAAGAAAATGATGCACATTATTACATTATTAATAAAAATTTATGCTTTCCCATTTTTTCTTGTAGATACTGAATTGCCACCACTGAAACTTGTCAATTCCTTCTGTGGATTGAAGGCAGACACTGGCCCATGCAGAGCAATGTTGATAAGATATTTTTTCAATATTCAGACTCAACAGTGTGAAGAATTTGTATATGGAGGATGTGAAGGAAATGAGAATCAATTTGAAACTATGGAAGAGTGCAAAGAAAAGTGTGCAGAAGGTAAGTTTCTGGGCACACTTTTTATATACCCTTGACTGAAGAGTCAATGGTATTAGGTTTAATCATACAGTTGATAATTTAAGAAAAAAATCTACCACTGTGGTAACATTCTGAGAAATCCATTGTTCAAATATTTAACTTGCATGTTCAATGAATGCTTTTAATTACAGTCATCATATATTTACTACCTTATATTCTCCATAGTAAAAAAGGAAGGATTTGAATTTTCAGGGGAAAAAATGGTTAGTTACATTGACTTACCAAGAGCCCATTTTAGTCTACTGTCAATATACTATTACTTCTTGAGAATATATTTTAAGGACCCCATTAGTTACTAACAATAAAAACTCAAGCCATATAAAAAAGAAAAAAATGCATATATAGAATTTAAAGAATTCTTAGGACCTTGGAATAATATAAAGAAGAAAATATCTCTGTTGCAAAGAGTTGTAGATTTTACTTATTCAAGTTTCATATTAATTACTAGGAATACTGTACTTTATCAACTAATAAATCTTCTTGGACAACTTTTAAATATAAAGATTAAGAATGAAATGCTACATGTTCTTATATCTCATTTCCTGAATTATCAGTGGAATAAATCTTAAATAATTATGGGTTCATAATTTTTTTATTTTAATTTTGTTTCTTTTAATTATGTTCTACTTGAGGAATAGATGAATTAGAACCACAATTATTTCTCTTCTCTCCATCTCACCACGTCCCTGTAGCGTGTTTTCAGTCCCTAACAGAACTGGACTGAAATACTGTGGACATAATATCATTTGTTAGTCTTCCCCCCCCCGCCCCCCAAAATTAGGCAGCTCTGCATTCTCACTCTAATAATGTTATTGTTGTTAAGTGCTAAGTGCTGTTGAGTGGTAGGCGACTCATCGCGACCCTATGAACGAAAGTCATCGACACTTGCGTGATTTTCATCCTTTCTCCAGGTTCATAGGGTTTTCAGAGGCAATCTATTATGGAAGTGAATGTCACTCCTCCTTCCAAGCTTGTTTTAATCAGGGAACTCCACCAAACACTGTCCACCATGTGTAACCAATATCACATTTGACATGTCAGTGTCACAGTGTTCTGCTTCACAGCGACCACAAGTTGTCTCTGTACGGCCAGTGGATACACCAGGTCTATACGACCTAGCAGAATGTTTCACCAAACTACTCTAATAATATTTTCAAAAATATCTTTTGCAAAGTAGTCCTGATAGTGCAGATGCCTTTTGTCTGAGGGAAAATCACCGTGAGATCAAAGGAGGAAACTTACCGATATTTGTGCCTCTATGGGATGCTTTGTTTATGGTCCAGAATTGGCAGAAGAGAGTTGATGTGAATCTATTTCTTTACCTTTTTTTGTTATGTGCGACTGGTTACCCCTTACTTCTCTGCAGATTTCTTAGAGTTGTCACTAACATGGATTAAACAATTGGGACTTTTCTTCATCTTTTGCAAGGTCTCTGGTCATTTTCCATTCATCACAGATTCCTATACTCCATTCTGTTGCATACACGTAGGACCAAGTATTCTTTCGCAGTGTATTGGAAATTAGTGTTAGTCTTCAGAACCTTGGCTAGAAACCTGGTTTCCTCATTTGTTGCAAGTGCTCCCTTTTCTTTTAGCAGCCTGCTTTCATTCCTCAAAACCTATACTCATTTTTTTTTATAATCCACACTTCGATTTTTAATCATTGTACAAAAGTTACACTTTTATTTAGAAATTAGACAAATATAAGCATTCCATTTATAAATAGCTGTTCTATGTCTAACATCTTCAAAATCATCCTTACTGATTAATATAGAAATATTATCTCTCTTGCTTTTATCTCTTTATAAAATCTTCAAAAGCCAGTAATTTGTGATAAAAATGTTAGAATTTTATGCAGTAGAATGTTGCTATGGATACAACTTGCATCTAGAAAACAAATACTAGCCTCTTTAAAAATCACCTAAGGCTATAATTCCAACTTTGTCATGATAGATTGGAACTAGACTTCCTTCCTTTTTTTCTCAACGTAAAGAATGACAAAACTGGGTATAATTTTAAAAACCCAAAACCGGAAAATATTGATAAATGATCATTCAAGTCTTGGATCTGAGAGAATGAGTACACAAGGTGATTTCTCCAGTTGTTCCCTCTTTATGCATGGACCACCATGAAGTCAATGGAATCGTAGTACAGTGATCTGAGTCTATTTCATTTGACTGAAAATATATGATGCATTGAACAGTAATGCTGTTGAGTGATACTAAAAAATATCTTCATGAAGAAAGCAAAAAGTCATTACAAACCAGGAAAGAAAAAGGAGGGGGAGATCAGAATAGATGTCGGGAGAGAACTTGGAGAAGTCAAAACAAAAGGAAGAAATATTAGTGTAACAGAATTGAACAGAAAATTAAGGGCAGCTTGTTAAGTCAAAGCAAAATCATAACAAAATATGCAAGGATCCGATGTTAGAAAGGAAAAAGAGAACACTCTTGGCATTTATCAAGTACTGATATTAGAATTACTAATATTACTTCAAAGAGCACTTATGGTCCAGTGGTAAACAGCTGCATTGCAATACCAAAGGCAAGCAGTTCAAATCCACCAGATGCACAGTGGGAAAAGAATGGGCAGTCTCCTCTCCTGTGATTTACTGACTCTGAAACCCACTAGATGGTCAGCTATGAGTTAGTTGGTTCTGACTTGACAACATACAACAATATTACTTCAACTTTTTAAATATTTACCTGAACAAATTGAAAGCTTCACATATTTATTATATAAACTTTAATAGAAAATATAGAATCCTTATTTTAAATGTCATATGACAAAAATAAATTGTATTCGTATTTCTCTTTTGCATCTGTTTATTAACAAACTGACCTTTGAGTTGAGACATTGAAATAATCAATAAAAGAAAGTCAATAATTCTAGGTTCATACAAATTTAATGGTTCTCCATACAAAACAGTTTATTTTAATTAATTTCATACTAATCACCAATTTTTTAAATAGTAGATACTTAATACAAATTAATTTCTAGGGGTGAAATGAAATTATATATGATTCTTTTTTAAACTCATTGTTTACCTTCAGGCCATTTGGGCTCCAAAGCCTTTGTACTTAAGACATTTTATGTAGTAATACTTTTAATGGTAATGAATAAATCCGACTACTTTATGTTTAAGTTGAATTGAAATTTATATTTTTATTTCATAAAGTATAGTAATTGATATATGTATCTTGTCTTGCTTGCAGGTTATCAAAAGTTCATGCAGGGAATTTTTCAAAAAGGTAAGCACTAACTTGTTCATTAATCAGTAGCATTTATAAAGTATTTAGAAATTAATTACTTAGGAAAAGATTGATCATAAAACCATGTAGCTTACAGTAAGTTCTTAAAAACTGGTATCCAGTTGTAAGCAAAGAATATGTGGAAACAGCCATACTGGACCATTCCAATTCCACAAAAAGAGACTGGCCCTGCCACTAGCATAAACAACATAAAACCAATTCTCATGAGATCAAATATGTCCCCCACACTCCCATACTTCTTTCTACTCTTCTCAACAGCAATATCACTGCCTTACTGGGTCCAAAATCTAATGCAATCGCTGAGGCCAGAAAAAACCATTCTGAGGAAGTCAAAGATTAAAATCCATGTTGTTAGAATACAATCACGACAGCTTCTGAAATATGCCTGCAGGAACCTCAGGTTAGAGATTCATTGCTTTTGGCCAGTGTTAGAAAGTTTTTAGTTCTTCCAATATTGCCTTTCCAATACCTTTCCCCCAACACATACACCCCTCAGTTGTAAAAAAAACCAGAAGAAAAAACCAAAAACCCAACCAAAAAAAAACCACCACACACACACAAAAAAAACCCAAAACCAAAAAAAAAAACCTTGAACAAAGGCTCTTAGCTTAGCTCTAGTTCTATCTATGGGTGCTGGGCTGCAGTTCAAGGTTTGTTCCATCTCATTTCAGGTCAATGGTTCTCTAATATGACTGCTATGTCTATTGCTCAGGTCCTGGAGGTCAAGTTTCATTCTCTTGCTTGCTCTTTTTTGCCTGTGGGGAGGTTTCTTCTAATTCTATTGTTGGTGAGACTGCTAATTAGTTTATAAATTGGTGAGACTAGCCAATCCCCTTGTGGATAGACTAACATGCCCTATTGGCATATTCCCACCCATCCATGTGACAAAGTCAAATTCAATGCCTAGGAAAATTATTTTGAAAGATAGACTCTACACAAGTGAATGATATTTGTGTTCCAGTGGATATGGAAAAATAACAGTAAACTAATATTTGAGAGGAATAGTTTCAAAACTGCTTATCAGCTCTCATTTTAATATAGCATAATATTTAGTATTAGATCATTTCATACTGCAGAGCTCCAAACATACTATTTAACATCTCACAATAATGATTTAGATGTTGCTAGACTTGCTGTAGTTTGTATAATTAAATAATTAATCCCTTGAGAATCCCAGCATTTTTTTTTTACTCTAATAAGGTTGATCTGGAGTTTCTCTTAGTAGATCTATAACTTTTAGTTGTCAACGATTATGTTGACACAGATAAATGCAAATAAATTATCATTTTATAAACATTTTAGTGAGTGTATGTGTATGCATAAATCCGTGCATTTTATTTTGTGTTATCAGTTGATTCATTACATGTGTAAATGAAATAATAATCTTGCATATATATATATTTTATCAACACTTAAGAGAACTCATACCCCTTTTAACACAGGTCTAGAAATCAATTTGACCCAATTCATACTAAATAAAATTTATGTTTGAATGAGAAAATTTTAGCAATGAGATCAATTTCTTTAACTCAGGATGTGAAAAGCCTTGCCAATTGTAATGTTAAAGATTCATTGTTCAAAATGGTTTCCCTCGCCATTGACTTTGACTTAGCAGTGTGGATGGGTATAGATATGTGAATAGGTTGTTTTAGCCAATCCCACAAGGAAATTGGCTAGTTTTGTCAATCTTCAAGGGGATTGGCTAGTCTTGTCATTGTATTGAGTGGATCCAGCAGCAGAATTTGAGAATCTCTCTACCAGCAAAGAAGCAAGAGAATGCAGCTCTTCCTTTGAGGTCACAGATTCTTGCATTAGCCAAACAAGAGCCTATGAAAGCAGCAATCATAACATCCAGCAGCAGAGAACAGAGGCCTGACATGAGACAGAGTTAACGCTGGAACTGCTACAACATGGAACTGGAGCAAAGACCCTTTTGCTCAAGTTTGTTGGAGGACTATAAATTGTGGCTCCCCCATCCCTAGTCCTCCAACAAACTTGGCAAAAGGCTCTTTGCTCCAGTTCCATGGTGTGGCTGAAGGCTGAGGTTCCTGTGAGTGAATTTTAAAAGTTGATCTGACTGAGTGACAGTATTCTGCTACTAATTTGAGTAGACTTTGTTGTTGTTGTTCTTTTTATGTGCCAAGTAGACTTTAGACTTCCTTAATGTTTCTTTGTGCTCTGTCAGTTACTGCAATTGATTTTGGGCCCAGTAAAACAGTAATGTTGTTGTTGAGGTGAATAGAAAAAGGCTCAGGAGTTAGGAGGACATGTCTGACCCCATGGTATTTGAGTTCCTGTTGTTAATGTGGTTGATGAGGACAGTTCTCCTTTGTGGAGTTGATAAAGGTCAGATATGACCATCCCCACATGGCATTGCTCTTTTTACACCAATTCAGAGTGCATGTTTGCTTTCTAATTTTGATTCACTGGTGGGGGCAGGGGTAATGAAAAATTTTTGCAATACCCTGTTAAAGTTCAGACTTATTCCACTAACCAAAAATTGAAATAAATATGTGTAAAAAGATCAACAGCAACATGACTGCTACCAACTTCACAAAGGAAAACTGTCCCCATCAACATCAAAAGTACAAAATTAATAGCTACCAGCTTAGCCATGGTCTCGTACACTGCTGCACTTACTTCCACTAATTTCTGATATCTGTTGCAAATAATCACACAGACTTGACTTTACCTTCTTTTTACTCATAGTTGTAGAGTATTAGGGGAATAAGTTGAGAGGAGAGGGAAAGGCAAAGGATATTTCACAGTGAAAGTCCAGGCTCAGTCAACAATACAAACCCAAGAAGAAGCAACATGAATGCAAGAAGCCTCTAAAGTTAGCAGCTGCTTACTAGCAAGCAAAACTTCTGCCTCTACGTCTGTCTCTAGGGTTCTGACCCTGGCTTTATTTGGCTCCTCAGGCCACACCTTGCCATAGTATGGTTATCTAATTTTTTATGTTGGTTTCTCAGTTATTGACTATATTGAAGACACTGCTCCACAGTTAAGGCAGACAGAGATTATGCCTCCAAGGGAGCCTAAATTGATAGGTGAAGCCCCAAAGATTCATTTTACTAACATGTTCCTACCTGGCTGCATGGTCAGTTCTAAAGAAGTGGATAAGAAAATCATTGCTAAAAATTCTTACACCACAATTTGTGTTAGCAAATGAATAAAAATACTGGTTTAAAAAGCATAAATGTGTTTTTAGAGAACTAACTGCCACCTAACTCATTCATTGTTAGCTTTTAAAAAGCATGCTATAAATGATCTTTACAAAAGTGTTCCATACTTTGAGTAAATGGAGCCTACATAATCAGTGACATTAAAAAATACAGAATATTTATGAATAATGTTTTTAAATTTTTATTGTCCATCAAATAAAAGAAAAATATTTCAGGAATTTTCCACACTTAATAATTTAGAACTTCTTTGTAAAAAATGCATAAATATTCATAAACACAGTTTCAGCTAAGAACGAAGAGAGAGAAAATCTTCATTTGCTTTTGTTAGATTCCATCCAGTTGACTTTCATTAGTTCTTCCCCAATGAATAGTGAACAAAATTAGGAAATATGCAGGTTAAATAATCTGAGAAATTAATTATTTGAAATCTTGCAAGTACATTAACTAATTCACTTACTCTTATAGGTGTTCATTTGTAACTTTGTTCTAAAATCAATTTACATTGTAGCTTGCCAATATATACATAAAAATGTTTTTTCCTTTCCCTTCTGGACCACACACACATCCATATCCTACTTATACGTCTTTTTAAATTCTTTTTCTAGACCTAATATATATTATCATTTTCTTCATTTATATTCAATATTCTGATCTACTTTTGTTGAACTTAAAATTTTTACATTTTCCAAGAAGGTGATTCAAAATTTCATAAAAACATACTAAGAATAAAACCAGATCCCAATGTTAGTAAATGGTTAAACTTTTTCTTTCCCTTAAAAGAACTGTCCTGAGAAATTAGCTAACGGGGTTTTTCCCCACATAAATTATATTTCATTACATATTTTTAGTTTGGAAATGATGGCAACTCATGTTTTGATTAAGCAAGCATCACACATTGGTACTTTAAACAATCATAGAAAAGAATTTTTTTATTGCATCAAAATAAAAAGCTACTCAGTAAAGCATCCTTCTATTTTATTCTCCATGTTTTTTATTTTTTTTAATATGTTTCTCTTCTTTGTGTGATTTTTAACAAAAGTTCCAAGAAAAGTGGGTTTTTCATTCATTCGTTGATGCATTCTTTCTTCCCTCCCTCTCCCTTCTCACTCACCTAGTCCACTTTGCAATGCACTTCTTATTCCAGATTGTTAGTCATACATACAATGTCTAATGATTTATTGCTTCCAGACAGAGTATAGATAATGAATACTGCATTAGAACAGATGAGGGGGAAGAACTGTCTGAAATCATCCATCTGTAGACCTGCAGCTGTTGCAAAAATCACTCACATTATTGAATGACCTACATTTTTAGAAAAAAATTGATATTCATTATCAGTCTTTTTCTTATGGGTGCAATGAAGCATGATTCCCTTTTCTGAAATATTATTGCCAAATATTTTCCTCAGTCTGTGGGCTTTCTTTTAACCCTTTTGGAAAAAAGTTAAAAACTCATTAGATAGAAGAGTAAATTGGTATGTATAAGAACACAACAATTATATTTTGACACTCTGGCAGTAGAGAGAGAGAGAGAAGAGAGAGAGAGAGAGAGAGAGAGAGAAGAGAGAGAGAGCCCAAAATTTCAAGCCCCATGTGTTTTATGGTCATAATATGTTTGAAAATCTGCTCAAATCTCTTCTTCACACAGAGAGTGCTTGTATGTAGATCTTGTAATGTTATAAGCCCAAATCACTATGCCACAACTTTTGTGACAGCTGTGCTTAGCCTGCTTTGGAGCACTATCAAAGAAAGGATATTAGACCTTCTCAAAAGTCTCTCCAATTTCTGAGCATGTATTTCCTCTCCTGCTCTGATTTTTGGAGTGACTCCAATTTCTGAAATAAGAGAAAGAGAGAGTGTGAGAGAAGGAGGATATCATACCTAACATATAAATACTAATTCCCTCATAAGAATCCAGGAACTTCTAAAAATAGCGTTGACAGCTTCCATCCTCTTCAAAGTTTATTTTTATTTAAATCATTGCTAGTGAAGCAGCACACTATGCTGGTTTCTAGAATAATAGCCACAACCCCAAAAAGCATGACCTATTGGTAGTTATTGCCTGTATGTGGACTAAATGTGAAATAAAAGGATTAAACTAAAATTAGATAATGCTTACAAACCAAAATTATTACATGGTCAATTAAAGCAATAATGCTGGTTTCTCAATTGATGGGGGAGAAAGCTGATAGTGAATAGTGTATTATTTATATAACAATCAGGAATTTAGAAATAAGAATCACCAAAATAAGTTTAGCACTACTATTGCTCATTCTAAATGTCAGAATGGATATGGTAAATAAATTCAGTATTGCATATTGTTCTGAATAAAATCATTTTTTACCTTTTATCTTTACTGTAAAATGTTTTGTTCTCTTTAAATATTTTCAGTTTAGCCAGTTGTGCACAACTTTTAATTAAAACAAAAAACAGTCACCAAAAATTAATATTGTTTTCTGACATTTTTGTAACTTCTAGAAAAGCCATTTTTCTGCTTTTTGGAAGAAGATCCAGGAATTTGCCGAGGGTACTTCCCCAAGTACTACTATAACAACCAGTCAAAACAGTGCCAACGCTTCATATATGGTGGGTGTCTAGGCAACCTAAACAACTTTGACTCATTGGAATTGTGCAAGAGCACCTGTGAAAATACATGTAAGTGTGTATGTCTCTCAATCAAATTCCCTTTTAGACATTCTTTTAAAAATAAGGTATTGGAATATGGTCAGGTTCACTGAGGTTTTGTTTCAATCATGCAATGATACAGCTGCATATAATACTTTTGAGATAAACTAGCCCTTTTATTAAAGAGGGAAAAAAAGAAAAAAGAAACCACAGAAAAAATAGGACATGCAATCATACTACAATTTTTGTGTTTACATTATTTAATTTCCTTTCTAAGACTATTACTTTGTAATTTAGATAATGTGAAATCTATTCATTACTCAGAATCTGCCTCCTCAATTAACACAGGAAGTTTTTCTTGCTTATAAAATTTACTAAGAGCCATGGCTATAAACTCTCCAAGTTGTGTTTTAATCAAGAACTGTAAAATTACTCACTTAATTATGACCCCTTTACTTCCTTCTATAAGATTCAAAATTACACACACCATCCATCACTGCTTAGAGTCAATTCTGACCCATAGAGACCCTGTTGTTGTTGTTGTTGTGTCCCATAGAGTCACAACTGACACATAGCTGACCCTCTGGCAGCTTTTCAGAGGCAGTTAATCATATGGGAGGAGATTGTTCATCCTTCTCCCGCAGAGCCACTGGTGGCCTCGAACCACGTGCCTTGGGATTGCAGTGTAGCTTTTTGTCTCTAGGCCACCAGATCCTGTACAAGTATAATATAAGTCCTCGTGGCTTAGTGCGTAATGTGCCAGATTGCTAACGATGTTATCCTGCAACTCAAATCTACCACATGCTCCTTGAGAGAAAGATGGCCAGTTTCGTCCCGTAAAGATTTACAACCTAAGAAAAGTGATGGAGCATCTCTAGGAGTCTGAATTAACTCCACATCAGTGATTTTGATGATGTTTGTGTTGTTTTTTACTACGGTTTCCAAGGCTATATACTTGGTGGAAGCAAAGTACTTCTTTCTCCCATAGAGCAGCAGCTGGGTTTCAACTGCTGACCTTTGAGTTAGCAGTTGAGTGCTTAAGCACTGTGTCAACAGGGCTCTAACTGTTTTTTACTCTAACATAACATAGTATTGAGCGTAACATTTACATAGCAATGAGTATAAAATTGCTAAGAGTTTACTCTTCTTAACTCAAGTATTGTGCTTAGCATCATTATTAAGATAACCAATTGCAGTTATGTTTTTTTGTTTTAGTGGATTGTACTATTTTTTTTTCCTAGCCAATGATTTTCAAACCCCATCTTATACTATGGCAAATTATACTTCAACTGTCCAACCTACCAAGTTTCCCAGGATTTTTGGTAAGATCTTTTCACAATTGCTAGGAAATTGCTATAAAAAACTGGAAATGTATAAGTATACATTTTATATGTGTTTCTTTTATAATGAACGTGTTGACATACTTAGATGCAACATTTTTTGATATTTAATCCTAGAATCATTGCCTTGTCTATTTTAAAATTCTTATAAAAAGATGCCAGCAATTGTCTGGATCATTCGAGGCTGATAAATTCTTTCTATAGGCAGGAGGGTGTCAAAGGCAGTCTATGGTATTTTTATATTTGTATTATATTTTTATATTATATTATCCTTTTCTATGAGGTTAGTCCCAGGGTAGAATTGATTGAATAATCACGTCCAAAGTATAATCACTTCTGAAGATGTTTTCTTTGGATTTATGCAAGGCATTGTCTGAGCTAAGTTCATAAATGTGTGTGTAACATCAGATTTTAAAATTTAAAAAAATTCAACATATTGACAATTGTCTCACAAAAATGAAGATCTATGGAAATTCTGTGAAACATAGACAGAAAACACACATATCTGCTCCATTAGAAATGATCTAAAAAGTTCCTAATGTCTGTGGGGGAATGGCATGTGTCCAAATAGAAATTGGAAATTTCCTTTTAAGCACTCCGTGTGAAAAATGGCAAATGTGACCTTAGATCTTAGCATGAATTTAAAGAGTACTGTGACTACTAAAATGGAAAATTTAGGGGAAAAAGAAACCATGGCTGGATCAGGGTTCTCTGCCTTGGCCATGCACCAGAATCACATGGCTTTCTGAATCATAATGGCCTTGAGCGTCTCTTTTTACAAGCACTTCAAGAAGCAAGCAGAAAGCAGCAAAGCCTCTGCCCAGATGTATGTGAGCACTAAACATGTTGTATGTGATTTATCTTTGAGGATGTGAAGATCCAGCTTAGTCCCAAACTGCTCTAAGCCATGTCAAGTGGCAGCATGATTCAGCCAAGAATCGAACCTTTCAGAAGCCACAAAGAAAAATGGAAACATGTTTACAGAAGGAAAGGAAAAGGCATGGAGGCCTGAGATCTAAAAGAGAATGTTCTATCTGCTTTCAGTGTTTGAAACACTATCCTAGGAAGGAAGGATTAAGTTCTGTAATTTGCCTCACACTTAAATCTTCCTCCCCACCCCCATTCCAGTCAACACGTCCTCATCCTTCTGAAGTCCTCAGAGCTCACACATAAGCATTAGTTCCTGAAATCTAAAGTATACATTTCTCTTTGTGAAATGTTCCTGCTATTGTTTAAACTATTAAAAAAATCAAATGAAGTCTCAGACAGTTGTGAATTCTCTATACTTCAGGCATTCAAGTAGTGTCGAAAAATTCATGAATTGAATGCAAAGTTTCAGTGAAGTTAGAAATACTTTATAATCAAACACTTTCCAGTTCTAAGATCCTAGACTGGCACAGTAAATCGAGTGATAGATGAATTTAAGTCTCATGTTTAATCATTCCTTTGTTTGTACAAAGTATTTTTGTGGCTCTGATTTTACAGATGAACCTGTAAAAATAGGTCATTGTTTGGGTCCCTTCAGTTTTCAATGCCATTTAAAATGTATTTCGGCAACATTTTTTTACAGTTTGAAATGTAAACTTATTAACAAATTTAAAGATGATAGATAGATTAGATAGATAGATAGATAGATAGATAGATAGATAGATAGATAGATAGATAGATTTCAATATATCTAAAAGTAGAAGAAATACAAGGTAAGAATAGGAGGTTTAAAAAATAATAGGTATTTAAGGAATAACACTTTCATAGTTATGGCATTTTAAAATTGTGGCAAACGCCTCCTTTATTTATCTAGAAAGTATTCTATTTTTGAGAGTCTGCCTTAAAATTTACATTCTTCTAACCAACTTTACTCTTTCCCTCACCCTCTTTTCCTAGAGAAATAGTGCATTAAATTGTATTTATTTTGGTTTGTAATAGTCCTAATTTAAATATGAAGCACTATCATAGTAACAAGTATGAGATATTTGGTAAAGTTATTGTCTTTAGCCTACATAAAATGGAATTTAAAAAATATGTATGTTAGAATGTGATATGACTAAAATAAATAAACTGAACGTGTGCTATATGTCAGCAAATCAAGCTGTATAAGACAGGAGAGGGAGGGAGAGAGATGCACAGAGGCAGACATACCACAGATATACAGCTACATTATTATGCATATATATAATATTTGGAATATTTATAAAATAATTTCTTTCTATATATATTTATATTCATATATTTTATACTAATATATATTTAGTATATAATACATACTATATAAAGCATGTGTTATATACAATATGTATGTGCAATAAATAACATGATTTACAATTTATAATGTGTAATATTTACACATTGTTTTTGTCATTAAAGTCTGTTCAGCTAAATGCAACTCATATCAACCCTATGAATAACAATTCAGAACCTGGTCCTGTCCTGCACCATCATCATGTTTTCTGCCTAGCTATAGACCATTCTTGCAGTCACTGTATCAACCTCATGAAAACTTGTTCTCTCTTTTCCTGACCCTCAGCCATCCCTCACATGATGTCTTTTTCCAAGGGTAGGCTTGTCCTCATACCCCACCATTCCTGCCTTTAAGGAGCATGGTGGTTGCACGTCCTCCAAGAGAGATTGACTTGTTCTTTTTCATTTCCATGGCATATTCAGCATTCTTTATCAACACCACAACTTCAGGGCATTAAATCTTTCTGATCTTCCTTATTCATGTCTAAATTCCCTTTGTATAAGAAACAAGTGAAAATACCATGACTTCAGGTGCTTCTTTGTCTTTAAATTAACACCTTTGTTTTTTAGCACTTTAAAGAGGTGCTGGACATGATTTTCCCAGTGAAATACATCTTTTCATTTCTGAACTGCTGCTACCATGTGCCTTGATTGTGGATCCAAATAAAATTAAATCTTTGACAACCTCAATCTTTCTTCCATCTGTCATGATCAAGTAGTGAGGATTTTTGTTTTCTTGATGCTGAGATATAATTCCTATTGCAGGATATCTTTAATCTTCTTGAAGTACTTCAAGTCTTCTATACTTGCTGCAAATAAGGTTGTGTAATCTGCATAATGCAAGTTATTGATGAGTATTTAACCAATCTTGATGCCATATTCTCTCCTCAAATAGTCTGGCTTATTGGTTATTTTCTTTAGTATATATGAGTTTTATATCTAAATAAATTGTGTGGATTTTGTTATAATTTTACCCCAAGGAGAGGGACTGATACAGTGACTGAAATAATGACTGTATCAGTGGGCCCAAGTATGTCAGAAGTGATGCTAGGACTGGATTCAAGTCTGTTGTCCATAAGGTCACTATGAGTCATACTTAACCACACCTAACAACAACAATGTCTGTTGGGTTATGGTTATGTCATTTAATGTCATGCTTTTTAATCAAGTAGGCTTTAATTTCTTCCCTCCATTTTCTTTTGTAAAAATAAAACCTAAAAAAAAAAAGATGGAGAGAATATATAGAATCACAAATAAATAAATAAATATGATTGCATTTTCTCTGTAGTGATTTAGTTTCATTCATTTAGTTCAAATTTGTCTACATTTTCTATTACTCGTCCCAAATTATGTCACGCTTCCCTGTCAACATTCACCTGACCCTCTTCATTGTCGTTAAACATAATTTCTCCACCCTCTTTCCCCATGCTGTTTCATGTGGTGTCTCCAAGCTCAAATCCATCTGCTTTTCCTAGTTCCTCTTTCTAGCTTAGCTGCCTGGTCACCTTCATAACAAATCCTTCGACTGCTTTCTTTACGCTTATTTCCTATTATGATTCATTTATGATAGAGGTTATATTGGCTCAGGTTCTTCGGAGGAAAAGACTTTGTATTACATATGTCATAGGCAGCCTTTACACCCTGATTTGTCTATTGTTAAGCATATAAGAGATAACTCACAAGTCTTATTTATTAATTTTGTGATTCACAGTTGTAAAAGAAAGAAATGATGGTCGGAGGAATGCTCTTCATGCTTACCAAGTCTTTCTGAATATCTTCTTCATTCATTCATTCATCAATGTTTATTGTAGGACTGGGTAGCATCTTATGATGTATACTGAATTTTTGCTACTTCTTTAATAGTTATATGGCATATTGAACCTTTCAAATATCTTCCTTATTCATTCATCAATGTTTATTGTAGGATTGAGTGGCATCTTATGATGTGTACTGAATTTTTGTTACTTCTTTAATAGTTATATGGCATATGTTGGACCTGATAATAATTAACCTGATAATAATTCATTAATAAAGTTTTAATAGTTACATAAAAATTGTCAATATATTTATTTCAATGCACCTTTCAGATAAATGCCTAACTAACAATTAAAACTAATGTTCTCAAGTGTTTATGCAAATTCTAGGCTGTTTGAACAGACATAATCCAAGAAGAGAACATGGACTGAATGATAACATTGCTGATGTCTTATGGGTCTTCACTGAAAGAACAAACTACAACAAAGATATTTGTTTGTATGTTATTGACTATTCTAAAGCATTATTCTGTGTGGATGACAATAAGTTATGGATAATATGGATAATAATGAAATTTTCAGAAAACTTGCTTCGGCTCATGCACAACCTGTGCATACGATCAGGAAGCAGTTACTGAAACAAAACAAGAAGGTACTGTGTGGTTTAAAATCAGGGAAAGTATTCATCAAAGACCTAACTTTTACTATACCTGTTCAATCTGTGTGAGAGCAAATAATCTGAGAAGCTAAACTCCATGAAGAAAAATATGGCATCCAACATGGTGGAAGAGACATGAACAACCTTTGCTTTGCAGATGACACACTTTTCTTTTTCATCTGAAGATAAAGAGGACCTGAAGAATTTATTGAAGAAGCACAAAGACTACCATCAGTATGGATTACACGTCAGCACAACTGCTTACAGACAATGTCATCACAGCTTTTTTAACATAAAACAAAAATCCCTTCAACTGAACCAAGAAGCAACAT